TCATAGTTAACAAAAATTTACAATCCGTAGTACTTTTCTATCAATTCTCAAATGCGTTTAATTTAAAGCGTTTAGAAAATGCGTCATTTATGTATACCATTTTATGTGGAATTATTCAATAAATTTCGTTTTACACTATACTTTTTGAAACTATTTGGAGTTAATTATTTTTGCTTATTAAAAGCAACCCTGCGTGCTTGGAAGGCGTGTGTACCAATAATTTCATCCCTAGCATATTCATCCCCGAGGAAGGCAGTCGCCAAATTCACCGAAGGTTGTTTACTGGTTATATTGTGGCTTAAGCAGTATTTTACGATGTCGTTCAATTTCATGCGCAAGCTTGCGACGCTCAAATTTCGTGTAATTGTGTGTGCAGAAAACCACCATCGTTTTGCCAAATTTTATTAATTGATGAATATTTTGATGTTTAATCAAGAAATTGAATATTATCTATCAACATTGAAGAAATATTAAATTAAATGGTTATGATCATATGTTTAAATTAATATTTACTTGTGAATAATACATAGATATAAATGTGTATATGTATAGGTAAACAAACTATGTACATACATAAATACATATATGTATGTACATATGCATACACGTACATAATTGATTAGTGCTCATGCAAACAAAAATGCAATCGCTTCTAATCACTCTAATCAAGCTATGAACATCAAAAACCAAATATGTACTAATGTATGAACATACATACAAATACTACAAATGAAAACATACAGCCACTGCGCTTACTATTCCCCGAACTCCCGCTTCTCACGAGCAAGACATTCATTCATAAACGTAAAAACTGCCATTCAGAAATTCGTGCGCACGTTGCACACTTACCCCGCTACAAACATGAGCCGTCCACAAGTTGATTTTCGTCGCGGCGATGACAAAATCTAAAATTTTATCAACCACCCATGATTTAACAACTACAGGTTGTAGCAATCGTACAAAAACAACATTTACCGTTGGTATGAACTCCTTGTGTCATCAACATCTTCTTTATCTCTTCATATTCGTATGTATATGTATACCCTGCATACCAGGATTTCATAGAATTCTGAAAGGTTTCACAATTTTTTTAAGAATATTCTTTAAGAAATGGTACAGTTCTTGTCAACTGCTTCATATGTTTTTCTTTACATTTACATTTCTAAAAGAATCGTTACAGATTTCCGACACTCTTAAAGATTTCGGGAGAATTTGTTTGCAGGGTATATATATACGTATATATGTATGTATACGTGGATAAGTAAATAAAGCAAAACGGACGATAATTTGACACAAGCGTGCTCATAAGAAGAAGCATAGCTTCTATCGCTATCACCTGTAATTGATGCGCCTTGTCAACCACCGCGCCGATTGGAAAAGTGGCAACAGCGGTCAAAATCCCCCTTCCCTTTGCACACTTCTGGGATCAAAATAAAATATTTTTTCCACTTGTTACCGAAATCATGCATCTGCGCCGACAAGTGCGCAAAATCACTTCGCTTTCGTTTCCCCCTTCTTGTCTACGAGTTCTCTTCTTCTTCTTCAATAACTTCGATGGCGATTGAAACGCAAAAAATTCATTTCAACCGCGAAATTATTCTTTATTTTATTTTAGAAATAAATTCATAAAAAATAACCGCCTCGGGTAGGATATGAACCCTGACAACAACTGCAGCAAAGTATCGTTTATCGCCACGCATCAACCAACTATGCCACAGCACTTATTAAAATTCATGCATCTTACTGGCTACATGTACTATCGATTTTGCAAGTACGAATATCCAAAATTTTTTAATTTTCGTTGACATATCTACATTTACGTACCAAAGAATATATGTGCGTAAATGCTTTTTCGCTCGTATGCACAAAGAAAAATGCCATCAGAAAAAAGTAAAAAAAAATGCCATAGAAAATCTTATCAACTTAGCTGAAATAGAAAAATTCATACATGTTTGCAAAAATCAATTTGCAACAATCAGCAAATCGATTTCACGCAAATATATTTTCGGCAAGCAAGCAAATGTACAAAAACCCGCTCCTTTCCCCGTTTCCCCGCTTCTTCTGTACACTTGTCGTTCTGACTTCCATTTTTATTTTAGAGTTTGTTTTGATCCGATACAAGCACGCGCCTGCCTCCGCAAGCATCCCCTCTGCCTAGTGCTTATTATATTTCTGTTCCTCTTTCCTTTTTCGTTCTTATTTTTTCATTTTGCTTTGAACTATAGTAAATTTGCTCGAAGTGTGGTGGCACGGAAAAATTTTTGGTATGGTGGCAGTCGACACTTCTCTGCCGACACCGTCGGTCGAGTGGTGCACTTTGTCGACGAGTGGTATATTTGGCCGACTGCACCCCAAAATTTCTGGCACCAATTAGTTCACACAGAAAATGCGCCCTCTCATTTATAAACGTTCTCTGCTATTGCACTGTTAATAACCAAATTAAGCCGCAGTTGCATTCACACGTGATATAATAGCTAGTGTCGGCAAGCTGTGGGAATGCCCAGGAGATGGCGTTTGTTCAGCTATCGAAATCATTACACCGACGGGGTGGGCAGCTCTGCTGGAACATATTTACCACAGCAGTGGTTGCGGCGTTTTGTTCTGCAACAATAGCCTGCAATGATGACATGTCATATAATGTCGACGAACAAAGATATAAAATTTAAAATGACTAACCTTATTCCCAGCCGATTTGGGAGACCACCCTTGGTCACGACCAGAATGCATTTACCAAGAGGAAAAACCGCAGGGATTGCAGTAGTTCTTGCAATCACCGTTGATGATGCTGTGCTTGTAATTAATAGTCTGAAAATACAAAAATATGCATTAATGAAATCTTATACACATCAAATAAATAAATTTCAATAATTTGTTTACCATTTCACAAACCGAATAACCAAGAAATCGAAACTCACCACGATGCGATACAGAACTAAAAACCAACAGCGCTGCATTTTCTTGGTAAACAACACAAGCGCTCAGAGCAAACTAATCCGCAAAATTATTTTGTGAAAAATAATAGTTGAAAAGAGTTTTTACACATGATTATCACATTAAGTCATAAGTGCAAATTATTGTGATTATTTTTAGTTGCATATAAATGTATTACCTTAGACTTTTTTTAAATGTTTTCTAATATTCATTCTTTTGGGCCGCAAAAGCAACCATGCGCTCAATTTCTTGTGGGGAAATTTGGTCCCCATAAAGGACTTTCACCACGAAACAGCTCCAAAAACAAAAACCTTTTCTACTGGTATACTGTGTTTATTATTTTACATTATTTGGATAAAGAAATTTACGCAAATTCGATATCGATGTGATGCTGATAGAAATCTGGTCCAATTTGTGAACAACTCTGTTTGTTTTGTTTCCTAATTAAGTGAGGAAATTTTAATTGACAGGACCGACAAATAAATATATACACAAACAAATGTTCGGTTATGGTTAAAACAATTCAAGTTTTTGTATTGAATTTTTGGTTTAAAATTTGTTTTTTTCCTTTTCAGTAGGGTTCTTTGCACATTATCTTCTGCGTGAGAATTTATCGGAATAGATACGGATCTGAATAAGCGAATGGAACACGGCTGTTTGTCAAAAGCATACGATTTCGAACTCGCGTAAATGTACATTTGCTAAATGCGATAGCATGAACGCTTTTTGAAATTTTATGTCCGAAAGTGCTAAATGTTGCATTTTAAATGCAGCAAAAGCGCTGCATAAGAGAGTGTTAGTGAAAGTGTGAAAGTATTGAAAATTTAAAGGGGAAAATTGATTGTGTAATGGCCCGGTAAGCGTGAAGTTAAAGAAGTTGGCTCAAGAAAAAAATCTTGGGAACAAATGCACAATACCACCAAATCTCGAATTAAAAAAAAAAAAAATTGGATCGATAGAGACCATTGAGGTGAACATAAAGGTATGCTTATTTTTTTTGGGAAACAACAACTACAACAATTATTGAAGGTCAAAGTTCAAATTAAGCATTTTCTCAAATTAATATTTCTCGAAAACCTCTTCAAGGAATTGGACAATTTTGATAGAGAATTTAATTCTCTTTAATTTGATATACATATTTATACATATACCTTTTTATAGTTTTCACGAAAATGGAATTAATATGGAAAAAAAGTATACAGGGTTTTTGTGTATAAACTTCTTTTTGCGTAGGCGGCCTTCGGCCGCACTTATGGATTATAACCCTCAAAGTAGAATTCTCTTTCTGTGTTGCGAAGAAAAGGCGCTGAACACCTTTTGCAGAGAAACCTTTCGGCGTAGGCGGCCTTCGGCCGCACTTATGGATTATAACCCTCAAAAAGTAGAATTCTCTTTCTGTGTTGCGAAGAAAAGGCGCTGAACACTTTTTGCGCAGAACACCTTTCTGCGTAGGCGGCCTTCGGCCGCACTTAAGGATTATAACCCTCACAAAGTAGAATTCTCTTTCTGTGTTGCGAAGAAAAGGCACTGAAACCCCTTTAATAATTGTTGTAGTTGTTGTTTCCCAAAAAAAAAAAAATACATCGTTACACTCACCTCAATGATCTCTATCGATCCCCATATGAATTTTTTTAATTTAAGAATTGTACGTATTCTGCATTTATGCCAAATCTTGTTCTGAAATGCGTAACAGAAGCAGTGGAACTCAGAGAGATTAGAAATTTTCCATGCTGACGTCAGATGCAGATTATGCTATAACAGCTGTAGTGCTTTCCCCTGATGTAAATTTTAGTTGTTTGAACACTTTGAATAAACGCGAAAACAAGCACTTTGAACAAGATATTTATAATGCGGTAATACGATTAATTTAAGTTGTTACAGATCTTGATGCTGGAAGTTGCAGTGTAGTCCAACCCGATACCAATAATTGCTTCGATGAATATTATGGTATGCTCACGAAAATGCAGTAAAAATTTATTTTGATATCCTCTTCTTTTTCTTAAATTCATGTATGTATATGTGTATGAATTTATGTCTCAGTCCCACAAAAATACGAATGATGAATCCTACCATTCAAGCCAAATTGCGCAACAATTCTTCCAATACTTGAATGATCCTGAAACTGGGGAATAATTTGCCAAAAGTACTCTCTGTTAAAAAGAGCTGCATTGCCAGGTGGAACGGTTTTTTTCGTTCGCTATGGTTGTAAACAACACACGCCTATCATGGCCTATCTGACCTTGCTTTCGAGAAATTAGTTTTACTTAAAGCAAATATTGGGTTTTATACATCAAAATGGTTCTGAGTTATAAATTTTCGTATTTATTTTGATTTGTTGTAATATTCACACAAACTCATGATTGCAATGCTTTCATTAAAGGTTGATTTTGATTAACAGTATTACTCTGACTTAAACGCAATTTTACATGCTTTTCAGAATGTACACATATAGTTTCTATCAATTAAACCTGTACAAAGTATCAGTAAATCAGAACCAATTTTTTTTTGATTACGATTACATTAGTTGTAATCATAATATTTTTAGGATTACAATTAAGTGTTCTTTATCGTAATTTTCATGATTACAATTACTGTAATTGTAATTTTAAAATTTTTAGGATTACAATTACGGTACTCATAATCATCTATTTCATGATTATGATTACAGTAATCTTTAGTACGTTGCGTACCTATTTTGAGGTATTGCGTCCAAGGGGGGTGACCCGATCCAAAAAAAAATTGCACACAAGCCTCTGCACTTTATTTAACATAAAATTTTTTAATTTTCAGTCACTAATTTATTTACAAATTGGGTTTGACATCTGCCCTTTTTGTAAAATTCGGAAATTAGGGTATATTTACCACTCCTATTCTCATTAAATCATCCACTTCACCAATATATTTTTATATTCCCCTTCACTTTACACTTTACTCGATTAGTTATAACCTGGGAACGGATTTTTAGGACCTAAAAACCTATAAAAAAGGCAAAATAATATAACGAAATAGGCTGGAAAAGGCAAAATAAAATAGTGAAAAAGGCAGGAAAAGGCACTAGGTGTTGCAAAAAAGGCAAAAAAAGGCAAAACAAAATAGCGAAAAAGGCAGAAAAAGGCACTAAAAAAAGACAGAAAATACGAAGAACAATCAAAAAATACATTTATTTTAGAAATGTTTATATTACAAGTAAAAAGAGAAAAACTATGAACTAGTTTCATTATATGGAAAATTTGTACTTTGAATCTTTGACTATTTTATCCTTTCGAGTTTCTAACTCATAAAACTTTAATCTGTATAGTTCTAGTAACATTGAACCACAAGATGCATTTTCATTCGATTTTCGCGAAGAAAAGCCTTGAATGTACTAAATGTGTGCTCGACGTAAGTTGATACAAGCGGCGCCCAATTTAAACATGGAACGTTTGAAACGTTCATATTATCAGGAATAAGGACGTTTTCCTCGCCCTTTACAATTTTATCCACACCCCTTATTGTCTCCAAGCCTTCGTTAGCTGAGAAAACGGCCTTGAATTTTTCCAACACCAAATTGGCAAGAGGTCTCTGCGCTTCTATAAGCCGCATGGGCAATGTGTATATTTTTTAATCTTAAAAAAAAAATTGTAAATGCTATAATAATTTTTTTAAAGGTAGAAAAGGCAAAAAAAGGCAAATATCTTAAAAAAGGCAAAAAAAGGCAACATCAAATGTGTATATATGGAATCAGAGAAAGCTAAATCGTGGACATTCTTAATCGAATATGCTCTATCTCGTTAGCAGAAAAAAAGGCAATTTCCATAAAATCCGTTCCCTGGTTATAACCTTCTTTATGACTTTAATATTAACCAATTAATCACAATTCATTAAATAAAAACACCTCAAAATCACACGTCTGACTTTGGTTGCATATGCAAATTAAATGGCGGAGTTCAGCCGTCAAACTCCAAAATATGCAAAAGAATAAGAGACAAAAGAAGATACTATATAACCCAGTAAGCATTAAAAATATAAACCTTTCCAGGGCAATAGTATAAGTGCAGAATACGTTCATTTCTCTGATTGGAAAAATTTATATTGGGATCGATAGGTGTCTTAGTCCTGATTATAGACATAATAGACATCACTGGGGCGGCAGCCCCAGGTTTACCACACAGAAAGGAAATTCTAGTTACCTTATCCTTTTCCAAGGCTACAAGTTGGTGCACACCAAAAGGAGAATTCTATTTGGTAAGGGCTATAAGTGTTCTCTGCGAAAGGTGTTCAGCCTCACTTCTTTCGCCTGATAACGACCTTGGGAAAATTTATTTTATTTAAAAACCCCACAGATTCTGTTAGTTGGGTCCCCTGCAAAATGCTCAATTTGCCTCCGTAAATGCCGTTTTTCGCCCATTTTCAAACGGTTCCGTGATTGACTGTGAGAGGGCCCCGGAAGGGGCGGGGTGCGGCTTTTCGTAAAGTGGGACTGTCCCCTTTCAAATGGCGGCAGGGGTTACGGAGCCACGCCCCTCCCCCTCCACCCCACCCTAAAAACGTAAGGCAAATAACTAAACATTTCCCATCTTGGTCCTTAAATTTTTAAGAATACAATTATTATAATCATAATGGTAAAAAATATGATTACAATTAAAGTAATCGTAATCGTATATGGGTATTTCCATACGTCGCATACCTGACAGTCGTACGTTTCAATGTGATACAAAAAAGGAATACCATTTGTTTTCTTTAACTTTTTTGGGCCATTGTATAGCACATAATAATTTAACCGAAAAATAAAATCAGTCGAACAGCTTGGTCCTAAAATATAAGCATTTAAAGAGAGTGTCGTTACGTGACAAAAAATGGAATTTGATTAGTTCTTTTCTTACAAAATCGCAAAACTCTGCGAATTGTGGATGGCTATTTTCATGAAACTTATTTTAATATGATTTGAAGCCATTCTAGTTGTTTTTAGAGTTTTTTGAATTAGTGCAAATTGTTCAAATTTTCCTTTACAGCCCCAAGTGTGAAACGTGACGTGACGTAGCGTCACGTGACATAAATTTCCATCGTTTTATTTTTGTTAGTATTGCTTTTAGATGAATCTTTAACGCAAATAAAACATGTATTTTGCGTCGAATATACTTTATATTTTGACTTCAGCGCCAATTCAGGGTCAGGGTGTTGGAAATCTATGATTTATTATGTTTCAAATACATACGCCAAATTCGAACCAAATCGGACCATAAATACGGTTTTTCGAAATACCTCGACCTTGGCACCACCTAGGAAGACCATTTTACGCAA